GCTTTGGGATATGCAGTGGGAACCAGATAAGTTTATGCCAAGGTACTTTCTGCCCTTTTGTTCTAATATCTTCATAAATTTCCTTCACCGTGCATGTATCATAATTGAGAGACATTGCTTCTGATCTCAGTTTAAATATTCTTCTGGTACTCCAGCTGACGTTGGGGCCAGGATTAAACTGCCAAAAATTTTGCTCTTTAATGACATATCTATTAACCCAAGCCACCCATAGAGAACCTTCACCAGCCAACATTTTCTTTATGAGATTCACAATACAAGCTCTATTCCAATTTTTTAGATTCTTCAATCCGAGACCACCTTCTGATTTAGGAAGGCATATTTTATCCCAGCACACTCTAGCTCCAGCAGCCGGTTTGTCTGAGCCTTTCCAAAAAAATCTTATACAAAGCTGCTCCACTTTTTTAAGAATCGAAGCAGGCAAAAAAAGTTGTATGCACCAATAGTTGTTGATACTGAAAATAACAGATTTAATCAACTCGAATCTGCCAACATAACTGAGGTTCCTAGCAGACCAATGATGGAGTCTTTGCTTAATTTTAACAATAAGTGCTTCACAATCTTTCTCATTCAACTTGCGGGTGACCAGAGGAATTCCGAGATATCTGACAGGAAGTCTTTACCTTATCTTTTATAACGATGGATATATATATATATATATATATATATATATATATATATATTTAACATCGTCTTTGATCTAGTTAAGAATCAATTTTTTTTGAAATAAAATAATTAAAATATTATTTAATTTTCCTTAAGTTAATTTTTAATGTTATATTTAAAATAAATATTTTAATTTATTATAAAAAAAATTGACAACCATGCCAAATATTCTAAAATACAGAACGTATTTTTTCAAAATATTATTTAATAACATTACCTAGAAATACTTCATAATCCAGCAAGAGAACTAGCTCTAAGCCCAATATAAGACAAGTTATTGGTTTAAATTTACATAGTTTTCAATGGGTTTAACGAATGAAATTGGTCCTAAACCTCTTTTGTTAAAATTGGCCCTAAGATTAGAAATTGACATTAACTAACCCAAATTATTACATGCAAAGAGCAGGAAGGGAGAAAGTAATGCGTAGGGTACCAATGAGGACATTGGAAGTGCAAATAACTCAAATGAATTGGGCACTATAAATTGCAATGTCTAAAAGTGCTTCCATTGTAGCATAAGCTTTTCGAGCCAGTGAGGAAAGAAGAATTAGAGAGAGAATGGGAGGGGGAGAAGAAGAAGAAAGAAGGAAGGAGTCGGGTAGGAGAAAAAAAAGAATTTTTTTTATTTAAACCGAAAATTGTCGTTTTGGTCTAACCATAGTTTTCAGAACTGGACCGGTTAGCGAACCGGTCATGCTATCGGTTCACTGGTTCAACCGGTCGAACCGGTCCGACCGATCGTAAGAACCGGACGACGTCATAATTATTTAAAACATTAAATAAAAATACCAAAAATATTTAATAAAAAATAATTTTGTATATCACAAGTCATATTCAAAGCAAGTCATAACATATATGAGTTAAAAACCATAAAATCAAGTGAAACAAAATGATTCAAATTAACTACAACATAATATTTAAGATAAAACATATTAAATAATAAATATAATTATATAACTATAATTAAAAAATAAATTTGGGGCTAAAAAATCATAATAAAATGATATTGTTTGGTTTAATTTTAAAAAAAAAACAATCTCACATGGCTAAGAAACATAGAAGAACATCTCAAAAGTCTAAAGAGAAAATATGAGAACAAAACAATTCACATGGCTAAGAAACATAGAAGAGCATCCCAACTAACTTCTATAAATAATAGAGGTAATTTGACATTCAAAATCATGGAGTCTTTTAGTGAGCATAGAGTGAATTATTTTTTCACTTCAATCAAGCTCAAATTTTAGGCTTCAATCGAGCTTCTAAATTTTTTTTGACTTCAAGCCTTTTCGAGTTCAAGTTTCAATATTATATTTCGAGTTCGAGTTGAACTTGATAATTTGGAGTTCTTGAGTTTGAGTCGAGTTGAGCTTACTTTTAAAGTTTGAGTCGAGCTTAGCAATACTCGAGTTCGACTTGGCTCGTTTAACAAACGACGTCGTTTGGTTTAATTTTAAAAAAAAACAAAATTGGCTGTTTTTTCCGGTTTTCAGCCGGTCCGGTTCGAACGATTCCGACTGGTTCACTAATAATGGTTCAACTGGTTTAGTTTGAACCGAACTAGACAACGATTTTCGATTGAACCGACCGATCCGATTTTCAAAACAATGCTGGGTATACGGCTGGATGCGATTTTGGAGAGAGAAAAATTTATTATTCTTTATTGAGAATCTTTTTAATCTAAACTTAAGTATTAGATTGTGGGGAAAAAATTGCCCTAAGATAATCATCTTTTCCACCGTCTAAACAGCTCCTAAAGTTGGTGCTTTGTCCTTATTCTCCACTAATCAATCATTTCATTACTTTTCCCAGTTTCTTGTTTTTCCGGAAAAGAAAAACCTACTACGAACGAGTTTTAAAAAGATTTAACGACTTTGAAGAAATCCACCCAATGAAAACAAAGTCGCTGGCGCTGAATAACAAATAAAAAATCTTTGAAATTAAAAGTACATACGTAGATAAAAATCAATGTTAGGCCCTTGTATAAGACGGACATCTAGTTAATAAGAAAGATTTCTGAAATGAAGACACAATAATGTATTACTTTTCTCACCGAAACAATTGTCAACTGTCCTTTCATTTTCTCAAAGACGTGTAATTTTATTTCTATGAATATTTCCTGCATCTTCTTCAGATCGGGTTCTATATAATATCGTGTGTTGGAATTGAAATTGTGCTTCTCTTGCTTGCAGCTTATCTATGGATACTATTCAACTATTTACGCTTCCACTCTTTCTAATCTCCCTCGTATGTATTTCCAAAATACTCACCAGAAACACAAGTCGGAAGCCGAAACCACCGGAAGCTGGAGGCGCCTGGCCGATAATCGGTCATCTCCACCTTCTAGGGGGTTCCCAACCAATCCACATTAGCCTGGCCAACATGGCAGACAAATATGGACCAATCTTCACTATTAAGCTCGGCGTGCGTAGAGCTTTGGTAGTGAGCGATAGCGAAACTGTTAAAGAGTGTCTTACCACCAACGACAAAGCCTTCGCCACTCGTCCGAATCTAACTGCCTCGGTTCTTATGGGCTACAACAACTCCATGTTTGGCTTCGCCCCACATGGACCTTATTGGCGTCAAATGCGCAAGTTCGTTACTCTCGAGCTCCTCTCCAACAGCCGCCTTGATATGCTCAAGCACGCCCGAGAATCCGAGATAAAGTTGTCCATGCAAGAGCTGTATCAGCAATGGGACAAAAGCAAAAATATTGGCTCTGATAACTTGTCGGTAGAGATGAAGAGATGGTTTTGGGATTTAACCCTTAACGTTATTCTAAGAATGATTATAGGGAAGCGAATCCCGAGTTTCGGCAAAGATGCAGAGAATCGGGTGTTGAAAATGGCCTTGAGGGACTTCACTGAGTTGAGTGGGAAGTTCGTCGTATCTGATGCTTTGCCCTTTTTGAGATGGTTAGACATAGGAGGCGACGAGAAGGCCATGAAGAAGATAGGCGAAGACCTAGACCGATATGCCGAAGGATGGCTAGACGAGCACAGGCGAAGAAAATCGTCAGATCAGTTCAAGGACGGGGAAGATTTCATGGATGTGATGCTTTCTAAACTCAAAGATGAAGCCGACCGCGCTGCAGATATCACCAACAAAGCCACCTGTCTGGTAGATTTTAGTATTTTACTTGGTGTTAGAGTTTGACTATTTATGACAAAAGTTAAAAGAGTTTTGCCTGATTTTACAGGCTCTGGTCTTGGCGGCTGAAGACACTACAGCAGTTACATTGACATGGATCTTATCTTTGTTACTTAACAACCGTGATGCTTTAAACAAGCTACGAAATGAACTAGACATCCATGTGGGAAACAACAGGCTAGTGGAGGAAACCGACATGAAAAATTTAGTATACCTTCAAGCAGTTATCAAGGAAACAATGCGTTTATACCCTGCTGCACCAATCTCATTGATTCATGAAGCCGCCGAGGATTGCACTGTGAGTGGTTACCATGTCCCCGCAGGAACATGGCTGATCACCAATCTTTATAAGCTTCAACACGACCCACGAACATGGTCGGATCCTGACGAGTTTAGACCCGAACGGTTCTTGACTAGCCACAAACATGTTGATTTTAGAGGGCAAATTTTGAGTTTATACCGTTTAGCAGCGGAAGAAGAATGTGCCCTGGGGTTCATTTGCACTCCAAGTTTTGCAGCTTACGGTTGCTAATTTGCTGCACTTGTTCGATTTTGCAACCCCGTTAGATGAACCCATTGATATGCGCCAGGGACCAGCTTTGACACTTTCTAAAGTTACTCCACTTGATGTCCTCATCACTCCACGTCTTCCAGCTTTTGTTTACGAGATTATCGAATAACTAAGTTTTAGTTTTATTGGTATTATTATTTATTAAAATTTGTAGGTTGAGATATTTTAATAATATAATATTTAAAAGATATATAATTTCAATTCGATAATACATTTTTTTTCAAAGTTGGAGCTATGTACTTTTACGGTTCCACTTGCTTTGGCAAGTCAAATGATTGGTGTTTAATCTGATATTTAAAAATAATTTCATATTTTATGAGTTTTTATTTAAAGTAAATAATAGTATTAGTTATTAATTTGTTATTCCTTTCTTATTTTACTCATCAACGGATTTTTCTTTAAAAAAATTCATTAAAATAAAATATTATTACCGAAATTAAATTGCACTTCCAGAATAATCATCTCAAGCGGAATAAATTTTATTGAAAAATAATGAAATCTGTATGTTAATGATCCGTGACCATAAACTATTACCAAAACTAAAATCCCAAAATGATAACTCTCGTCTCTCTTCTACGTGAAGTGTAAGCGTCACAGAATCACGTACCCTTAATTTTCCACGTGTGAATTTTGGTAACTTTTTTATTATAAGTGGACACGTGGCAGCATATGCATGTTGATCAGTGTTGTCTATGCTGGCTGGAAGGGGGCGCTCTCATCATATGCGAATCGGTTAGAATCCGTATCGCAATCGAAATTCGGCCGCTGATGATGATGATTGTGGTGCCCGCTGTTACCTGAGCATACTCCGCCACGCTCCATACCTTAACCGAATTATCAAGGCTTCCACTGTACACAATCCACCGCTGCTCACTCCCAGATTCATGATCTTTTTCCACCGCCAAACACTTGACGGGCCCCATATGCCCAGTCAGCACGCAGAGGGATGTGTGGATGTTGCCGTCCTTCCTCCAAACACATATAGTCTTATCAGCTGATCCGCTAAAGACCAAATTATCAGTAGCCTTAAGGCAAAGCACCGTCTGCTTGTGCCCATTAAGGTCCCCGCCGTGGGCTAATTGTTTCCCAACTTCCCAGAAATTGACCACGCCGTCACTGGAGCCACAGTACAATACTGAACCCTTGGTGTTGATTGCCAACGCCGTAACAGCACAGTCTTGTTGTAAAAGAGTTTGTGCCAACATATGCTTTGCTCCTTTCCGCTGTTGTTCCCTTTTCCACACTTTAACGGTTCCATCTGCGGAGCCAGTGTAAACCATTCCACTCAAGGTCGAAACCACTGAGTTAACAGAGTCGTCGTGTGCACGAATGGATTCAAGGCATTTGGAATCAGAAATCCTCCAAACTTTGAATGTCCCATCCCATGAAGCAGAGTAAAGAAGACCTTGTTCTTCATTCAAGCTCAAACACGACACCGCATCAGCGTGTTTTATCCATAAAGACCGCTTATGCTTCACTTCCATGTAATTGCTTGGCTTAATGGAACTTTTAAGGACGTCTTTGAGAGTCGGCAAAGTTCCAGTTCGTTTGTAAATGCTGGGGTCCTTTGGAGAGATTTTCCAAACACGAATCTTCCCATCTTGATGACCAGAGAAAATCTTTTCCCCAGATATCACAATGGCCTTAACCAACCCACTGTTTGATTTAAACCCCGTGAACTCTTTTAAATTCTTCCACACACGAATGTTCTTGCTATCGGAGCCGGTATAAAGGAGATCCTTTGTGGCTGCCAAGGAGTAAATATGACCCTCTTCACGTGTGAGCGACCCGATGAGACTGTTAGCCGGAACGTTGTCGTATCCGGAAGAGAAACCCGAAGGTCTCATGAAAGAAGTGGTTTGGTTCCAGGGAGACATGGTAATGGGTGAGCCTTCCGGGCTGGTCCTATGGGCTTCATAAAGGGCATGACTGGAAGCGGATGCGCTGCTATAACGTATGTACAAATCATCTTCACTTCCAGCGATGGACATGTTAGGATCGGAATGCATAATGTTCCCATACTTGGATCTCGGGCAGCTATCGGGCTCTGCGAACATTGTGGCTAAACTGTAATAAATATAGGAACAACAAAGAAGATAATGCGTGGAAGGAGATCTGAGAGGATATCGATATTGATTAAACAAGTCAAAGAGACGAGAGGAAATGGAAATGGTTGCATTTGCATTGCTCGCTTTCATATATTGGCAATTACAGAATAGAGCGGATTTGGGAGCTATCAGATTTCGGACAAGTGTTAGACCGAGTATATAGAAAGAGGGGGACTGCTCCAGGGAATCCGGGGTCAGTTGTCCAAAAGCGACGTGCTTGGTAGTTTTAAGAATTTAACTTGCTAATTTTTATTTGAGATGACGTTATGTTTATTCACTTAATTGGGTAAATTATCTTTTTTATTACAATTTGAGAATTAATGATAAAGAATTGTGTTCAAAATTAGGATTTAGCTTATTTGCTATAAAAACAGCTTTTGCCAAAAATCGACAGAGAAGCTATAAGGAAACGAGTAATTAGACTATTGTCTACAAATACCGTTAGTAAATGTATTAAAAAATATAATAATTTTATGTGACCGGTTATGCATTTTAGATCAAACTTCAATTATTGAAACAAAAATTCGTGGGAGATCTTTCAATAATTGAAGTTTGATCTAAAATGCATAGCCACTGATGCTTACCATTGGTGGCAGGGTTACAATGATAGAAGTAGCAGTAGGACTAGACCAAATCAGGCTAAGGAGAAGGGTTCCTGCAGTAGAAATCACTTGTGCAACTTCATCAGAAGTATCACCTTGCTCCTCGTCCAATATAAGCGAGCAACCACTGAGCATGGCAGTAAATAACAAGGATGGACATGAAAATAGAGGCCTATTCGTGCTTGAGATAACTAACGTTGGTTGTATGAACTTGATCGAAAAATTGAAGGATAATTCTCCAGTATCAACCCAGAACCCATGGTTGAGTGAACAAAGCTCCCCTTCATCGAGCAGTTTGCTGAATAATGTAACCCATTAACCACAACTCACTCTTGCTTGGGATTTCAACTTCAGCTTCGCCTGTTAATACCAAGTTCAATCAATGCAGTACCAAAGTTTTATCCCTCTTCATATTTTGCAAGAGCCCCTAGTGTATGTATACGTCTGTATACACTGCTGAAGCCTGAAATTGTTCTCTTGGATGTCTTTTTCTCGATTTATTATATCATAAAACATGTTGTTGGAGATTGTGGGCACGAGAATTGAGTGACAGATGAAAGGAGCATAGTTAAAAGAAACAGGCAGATATGTTATTGTTATTCAGTAAATTATAGAGTTATCACCAACTACTTCATCGGCACAGTAATTTATATAATAAACAATTTTTCTATAATTAGCTTGACATGTATGCATTCCTCAAAGCCTTCACCTTGTCTGAGTTAATTTAATATCGGAGGAAGGCCTGAGCCTGAGAGGTTGTTAGGCCTGGATTGTTACCAAGTAAATCCATAAAATCTAGTAATTAATAGGAGGGCTCAGATCGTGGAAATGGTCCAACAGGTGGCCAGCTTTGCGGCTGGTAGCTTTCTAATTACCTAGAAACTGAAAATCACCCCGCACTCGCACCTATTGGGAAAACTTGGGGTTTAAGCGGTGACCGACGACCAGCAACTTCAATCGACGCTGCTAAAATCATAAAAAAGATGGAGCTTCAATCGGTTTGCCTTGGATTTCGTGTCCCAAAGTTCAGCATTTTTTGTCATCATCGATTCTTTAATCAATCCGTAAGTAAATCTATCCTTCAAGTTTGTTGCTTTCATAGTGTTACCTTGCCATCCCATTTATGTTCATTTTGTCGAAGTCGGAAACTCACTCTCATTTCCAATGGTCAAAATTTGAAGGCTCCTGTATGCAACATCATAAGAAGGAACGGAAATGTTGGGCTTGGAGATGCATCAAAGTACATCTTTTGCTTCTTTTTTTCACAGATTTTTTAGTGCTTAAAGTTTGTTCCTCCCTTGTTTGTTTTAACTAAAAGAGCCTTATTGTTTTTCAAATAAAATAATTCAGGGTATTTAAGGTTAAATAAGGAGGATAGATTGTGGAGATTGAGCAGATGGGGAATAATAGTGTGTGTCTATGGGTCTGATCAAAACTCATGTTTGAACCGTACTGGGACTGAGAGTGAGAAATCTACTGTGGCTCTAAACACATTTGGTGGGGTGCAATCGTTTCATGGTAAATCGGGTTCTATTTCCTTTCATGGGCAATCTCATTCTTACCAGCTGGCGGAAGAGAGCAAATTGATGTCAGCTCCTTTCCAAGAAGGAAAAGGATCCGCCCTCTGGGTTTTGGGACCCGTTGCATTGATTTCTTCATTGATCCTTCCACATTTTTTCTTTAGCTATGCAATTAAGGCTTTCTTCAAGGACGAGACACTCGTTTCTTTTTTAATAACCATGGATTCAAATTTCATTAGTGGTACTGCGGTGTGTGTGTAACATAAAAGAACAGGTGTAATTGTTTTGCATGGCTATATTGTGCAGAAATTGTGTCCTCATTTTCCTTTGAAGTGCTATTCTATATTGGTCTTGGGATGTTCTTTCTGGTGACTGATTATGTTCAAAGGCCTATTTGCAGTTCAGTCCCAAGAGGTGGGGTCTCATTACAGGACTCAGGGGTTACCTATCATCCTCTCTCTTCGCAACGGGTTTCAAGGTTGTTATTCCTCTTGTTGCGGCCTTTGTAACTTGGCCAGTGCTCGGTGTCCAAGCGCTGGTTGCAGTGACTCCTTTCCTGGTAGGCTGTGCCGCTCAACATGCATTTGAGACCATTCTTGATAAGTGCCAGTCATCTTGTTGGCCCCTGGTTCCTATCATTTTTGAGGTATTTGGTCTTTGTACTGGGTTCATTTTCATTCTAATGACCAAATAAGATGATTGACAACGTCGTAATTGATTTTGCAGGTGTATAGATTGTATCAGTTGACCAGAGCCATTCATATACAGCTAGGTCTTTTGGGATGGTGGTAACTTTCCAAGTCCTAGCTGTGGTTTGCCTTTGGTCGTTGATGACATTTCTCCAACGGCTTTTTCCTTCTAGACCGGTTGCAGAGATTGTCTCCGGAAAGGCGGATTAATATACGGCTAATATACGACGTTACCGGATACATTAAAAGATATTTGATAAATTCGGTTTAGCGCTACCGAAAATATTGAGTAATAATAATGTAATAGGTGGAAATCATGAAGAAATATTAAAAAAAATTGGCAACCGGCAAACTTAGCTTGTCGGTTTGTGTCCATACTTTATAAAAATATATTGATCCATAACAATATAACAAGTAAAAAAATGACAAAACCGGTTTATAAATGATAAAACAGGTAAAGTGTCGATACTTTATAAAAATGTATCTATCCATAACAATATAACAGGTAAAAAATGACAAAATCGGTATATAAATGACAAAACAGGTAAAGCGCTACCGGATATATTGAAAGTGTCGATACTTTATAAAAATGTATCGATCCATAACAATATAACAGGAAAAAAAAAGACAAAATCGGTCTATAAATGACAAAACAGGTAAAGCGCTACAAGATATATTGAAAGTGTCGATACTTTATAAAAATATATCGATCCATAATAATATAACAGGTAAAAATATGATAAAATCAGTCTCGAAATGACAAAACCGGTAAAGCGCTACCGGATATGTTGAAAGTGTCAATACTTTATTATAAGAATCGACACTTTTGGAATTTAAAAGAGAAGAAATTATAGCGCTAATAAAGTGTCGATACTTTATAAAAATGTATCGATTCATAACAATATAACAGGTAAAAATATGATAAAATCGGTCTCGAAATGACAAAACCGATAAAGAGCTACCAGATATTTTGATAGTGTCGATACTTTATTATAAGTATCGACACTTTTGGAATTTAAAAGAGAAGAAGTTATAGCGCTAATAAAGTTTTGATATTTTATAAAAATGTATCGATCCATAACAATATAACAGGTAAAAATATGATAAAACCGGTAAAGAGCTACCGGATATGTTGATAGTGTCGATACTTTATTATAAGTATCGACACTTTTGGAATTTAAAAGAGAAGAAGTTATAGCGTTAATAAAGTGTCGATACTTTATAAAAATGTATCGATCTATAACAATATAACAGGTAAAAATATGATAAAATCGGTCTCAAAATGACAAAACCGGTAAAGAGCTACCGGATATGTTGATAGTGTCGATATTTTATTATAAGTATCGACTCTTTTGAAATTTAAAAGAATAGAAGTTATAGCATCAATAAAATGTCGATACTTTATAAAAATGTATCGATCCATAACAATATAATAGGTAAAAATATGACAAAATGGATCTCGAAATGACAAAACCGGTAGTATAAAAGTGTGCTTGTGTGGTCATTTTTATTTCGGAATTTTCATTTTTTAATACGAAAAATTGGATATTTTAAGCAAAACTCAGTAAGAAAAGAACAAAAACTTTACAGTAACAAAATAATAACATTAGATATTTTAATACAATGTAACTGGTAAAAATATATTGGTTAATTAGTAAATAGATTTACATTATGTATCGACACTCTTTAAATATGTGTCGATGTTTTTTTCCCAAAATGAAAGCACAACGAGGTGCACGCATAAAGTGTCGATACATTTAAAATTGTATCAATCTCAAAAATATCAAAATCGATAATTATAATGTAATAGGTAAATTTGCAATGTTACCGGTTTAAATATACATGTTTAGTTAGAAAATAGGTCAATATAAACGCTACCTATTACATTATATAAGCGTTACCTAATATATTATTGTACTTGATAATATTTCCGGTTAAATAATATAACATAACCGGTCTAAATTTTAATCGGTTACTTATTTAACAGGACACGCCATTTTTAGCCGTTTTTTAGGCACCGCACAGCAGAATCAGCCGAACTATTGATGATTGGGAGGGTGGGGTAGTTCTGCGGTGCGGCGCCTAAAAAACGGCTAATATACGGCGTGACCGGTTAAACAAGTGACCGGTTAAAATTTAGACCGGTTATGTTATATTATTTAACCGGAAATATTATAAAGTACAATAACATACTAGGTAGCGCTTAT